TAAAATCATGGTCGTGGGTGTTATAATCATGGTCGTGGTTGTTATAATCATAGTCGTGGTTGTTATAATCATGGTCGTGGTTGTTATAATCATGGTCGTGGTTGTTATAATCATGGTCGTTGTTGTTACAATCAAGGTCGTGGTTGTTATAACCATGGTCGTGGTTGTTATAATCATGGTCATGGATTTTATAATGATAGTCGTGGTTATTATAATCATGGTCCTGGTTATGATCATGGTCGTGGTTGTTATAATCATGGTAGTGGTTGTTATAATCTTTGTCGTAGGTGTTACAATCAAGGTCGTCGTTGTTATAATCATGGTCGTGGTTGTTATAATCATGGTCGTGGGTGTTATACTCACAGTCGTGGTTGTTATAATCATAGTCTTGGTTGTTATAATCATGCTCGTGGTTGTTATAATCATAGTCGTGGATTTTATAATGATAGTCGTGGTTGTTATAATCTTGGTAGTGGTTATGATCATGGTCGTAATTGTTATAATCCTGGTCATGGTTCTTATAATAATGGTCGTGGGTGTAATAATCATGGTCGTGGTTGCTATAATCATGGTCGTGGTTGTTATAATCATGGTCGTGGTTGTTATAATGATAGTCGTGGATGTTACAATGATATTCGTGGTTGTTATAAACACGGTCGTGGTTATTATAATCATGGTCTTGGTTGTTACAATCATAGTCGTGGTTGTTATAATCATGGTCGTGGTTATGATCATGGTCATAGTTGTTTTAATCATGGGCGTAGGTGTTATAATCATTGTCGTGGTTGTTATGATCATAGTCGTGGTTGTTATAATCATTGTCGTGATTATGATCATAGTCGTGGTTGTTATATTCATGGTCGTGATTGTTATAAACATGGTCGTGGTTGTTATAATCATGGTCGTGGTTGTTATAATCATGTGTCGGTGGTTTATATAATCATGGGCGTCGTTGTTATAATCAAGCTTGTGGTTGTTATAATCATGGTCGTGGTTGTTATAATCATGTCGTGGTTGTTATAATCATAGTCGTGGTTGTTATAATCATAGTCGTGGTTGTTATAAACATGGTCGTGGTTATTATAATCATGGTCGTGGTTGTTACAATCATAGTCGTGGTTGTTATAATCATAGTCGTGGTTGTTATAATCATGGTGTGGGTGTTATAATCATAGTCGTTATTGTTATAATCATGGTCGTGGGTGTTATAATCATAGTCGTTGTTGTTATAATCATGTCGTGGTTGTTATAATCATAGTCGTGGTTGTTATAATCATAGTCGTGGATTTCGTATAATGATATGGTCGTGGTTGTCGTATAATCTTGGTAGTAGTCGTTTATGGTCGTGGTTATGATCATGGTCGTATAATCATGGTAGTGGTTGTTATAATCCGTGGTCATGGTCGTCTGGTATAATCATGGTCGTGGTTATGGTCGTGGTTGTGTGGTTGTTATAATCAATCATGGTCGTGGTTGCTATAATCATGGTCGTGGTTGTTATAATCATGGTCGTGGTTGTTATAATGATAGTCGTGGATGTTATAATGATATTCGTGGTTGTTATAAACACGGTCGTGGTTATTATAATCATGGTCTTGGTTGTTACAATCATAGTCGTGGTTGTTATAATCATGGTCGTGGTTATGATCATGGTCATAGTTGTTTTAATCATGGGCGTAGGTGTTATAATCATTGTCGTGGTTGTTATGATCATAGTCGTGGTTGTTATAATCATTGTCGTGATTATGATCATAGTCGTGGTTGTTATATTCATGGTCGTGATTGTTATAAACATGGTCGTGGTTGTTATAATCATGGTCGTGGTTGTTATAATCATGGGCGTGGTTGTTATAATCATGGTCGTGGTTGTTATAATCATGGGCGTCGTTGTTATAATCAAGCTTGTGGTTGTTATAATCATGGTCGTGGTTGTTATAATCATAGTCGTGGTTGTTATAATCATAGTCGTGGTTGTTATAATCATAGTCGTGGTTGTTATAAACATGGTCGTGGTTATTATAATCATAGTCGTGGTTGTTACAATCATAGTCGTGGTTGTTATAATCATAGTCGTGGTTGTTATAATCATGGTCGTGGGTGTTATAATCATAGTCGTTATTGTTATAATCATGGTCGTGGGTGTTATAATCATGGTCGTGGGTGTTATAATCATGGTCGTAGGTGTTATAATCATTGTCGTTATTGTTATAATCATGGTCGTGGGTGTTATAATCATTGTCGTGATTATGATCGCGAGTCGTGGTTGTTATATTCATGGTCGTGGTTGCTATTATGATCATAGTCGTGGTTGTTATATTCATGGTCGTGGTTGCTATAAACATGGTCGTGGTTGTTATAATCATAGTCGTGGTTGTTATAATCATGGTCGTGGTTGTTATAATCATGGTCGTGGTTGTTATAATCATGAGCGTGGTTGTTATAATCAAGGTCGTGGTTGTTATAATCATGGTCGTGGTTGTTATAATCATAGTCGTGGTTGTTATAATCATGGTGTGGTTGTTATAATCATGGTCGTGGTTGTTATAATCATAGTCGTGGTCGTGATACTTACAGTATCTAATATACTATAAGAAGGAATAGAATAAAGGTTAGAATAATTAATTAAAGAAATATTCGCCATAAGGAGAGGTTAAAATCACAAAAAGAAATTTATTATGAATCACCGAGGATCATTCCGAGGTAAATTATATTATGAAGAGAAGTGACCTTGATTCTGGTTAGATTAGTCACCATCTGCTTAAGTCATCACCTGTGTTAAGTTATCATAGTCATCATCTACATTAGTCAGTTTTAGGCCCATCTCTCATGACTGACCGACCATCGATGTTCTTACCGCGCATGGGTGTTAGTTTTCAATGCCTCTTATTATTTACGCTGGTGGTTGTAAGACCTCCTACCCTCACTGACGCAGCTATGGTCAATTTGGTGTTATTCTTGTTTATAAATGCCTTCTAATCTGTCTCATGTCTATCCGTCCTGTCTATTGCCATCCCAACTGTCTGTTCGTCTGCGTGGTGTTTGAATGTATGCCCGTTTGTACTCTTTGTGTCGTCAAATCTGTCTGTCTTATCCGTTGTTGGCGTGTGTCTGCCTGTTTGTCTAATGTGAACCAGTCAGTCAGCTGTCTGTCTGTCATGTTAGTTGCCATATTGTCTATTTGTGCATGTTTGAATCTGTCTATTTTTGTCAACCTCCTGTATCTATTGTAGTTATCTTCTCCATGCATTCCTGTTATTATCTTGTTATTATTTTGTTATCTCTTCTCCTTTTCCATGAGCCACAGGAATAAGTATACACTGTAGCTGGTAGGTCGTGTGGTAACATTGAAACTGCACATCCAGATGCATGATGAAACTCAGCTCCCCACACCTGTTATCTCTAACTATTTTCTGTTTCCCCTTCTTTATTCTTCTACTTACTCATCTTCCTTCCTTTACTAATCCAAACAACATTAAAAAAAGTAAGCTTAGAAAAAAGGCGGGGGGAGGAGGAGGGAGCCGTACGATAACTGCAATCGTGGGCTGACAGCGTACAGCAAATGAGGGTGCGCCAAGTCCGTAGACTTGCATCGTTTTCCAGCATAAATAAAATGGTTATTTAATGGTTTCCTAAAGAAACCATCGATATGGGACCAGGTTTGTTCCACTCTAAGAATTTTTTGCTATTTTTCCACCAAGTTTGATGAAAAACGATTGTGCCGTTTCAGCTGCCCAGAACACACACACACACACACACACACACACACACGCACACACACACACACACACACACACCTAGTCCTGTAGTATATTAGATTCCAAACAATATTGGTGTTATTTTGGTTTTGGTCATCTGGGGAACCTTAAGATTTTAACTATGGGATTAAGTACTTTAAACAATAAGACACATTATCTCTACAGGATTTCCGTCACAAAACATATTTCGATCGCATAAGAAAATACAAATCAAAGGTTAGGTTAGGTTAAGGTATGATGAGTTATAAGCTAGCTTAACATACATCGCTAAGGGGGGGGGGTAGAAACTCAAAACTAGTGATTTCGATAGAAATGAAGGTCTAAATCGTTCATAACACATGGCAAACCATCAGAAAAAAATATAGTCTGTTTGTCTAAGTTCAGGGATGACCAAAACTTAAAATTTACCCAATATAGCCTATCTCGAATTTAAACATCAAAATACTTATGGTAGTTATAGTCAAATTTCCCCCATTAATTAATATAAATAATGATATATCCCAGTGGTTCATTAGTGAATCTTCAAAACAATAACAGCACTATGTTGTCATGTTTATCTTACACTAGGCATTCTCAAAACAAAGTCCAGACAATGTCATTACTTCTAAATTTACTCGTTTTTCCATCTAGTGCTGATATACTCTGTAAATGCATTGAAAAAAAAAAAGAGAAAGTCTACCAGGTAAGAGTACATGACAGCTGATCTGATGTGAACATGGGAGTTTTTTATGTCCCAAAGAACATAATAATGGAGGAAACTGTAGCGGACCTATTGGCCCATACTGGGCAGTCCCATTTACACCCAACCCCTATCGCTCATATATCCATCCATCATTATGTTTGAAGCTGTTCTTCACGGCACATTTCTTCACTTACGAAATGTCCATGATTTACTTAGACCATAAAGAAAAATACCCTTAAAATTTATCTGAACGTGGTATTTGGGGTCAGAAGAGGCCATCCTTTCTACTACCTCCTACTGCAGCGATGAGTTTGAAACTAGTGACGTCATTGCAAATGGTGGCCCTGTTTCTAGAGAAATAAACTTATCTCGACTATTATAGAAGGACTTTAAACTTTTATCACAAATTATATATACCATATCACTCTACGAACGTGGCAGAGTGTATTTACCCAGAACCGTCATCTCGTTCATTCTTCATAACACCCCATAATACCTCATAATACCTAATAACAACTCATAATGCATCATAACACCTCCTAATAATTCATAATGCCTCACAGGACGTTGGAGTGTGACCGCCTACGGGTACACAGGAACTTGGTGGTCTCTCTCATCGTCTGGTTCCTAGTGATGCTGATCTTGACGGAGCCTTTCATCTCTCACCGCCACACCCGCACTTACCGCGACGTGGTGAGTGTGTGTGTGTATGTGTGTGTGTGTGTGTGTGTGTGTGTGTGAGTGTGTGTGTGTGTGTGTGTGTGTGTGTGTGTGAATCTATATTGCTTGCACTTAAGTCTTGTGTTTTGCTTCTGTGTGTGTCTGGCTTTGCCTTTGCCTCTGCCTGTTTATACTGGCTTTTGTCCGTCTCTTTGGTGTGTTTACTCGTATCTGTATGAGTGTTTGTACTCTCATAACACTTGTTCACTATTTTAGTATCAGTTCCAATTTATAAGCGTTTCCTCTTGTTATTTTTTTTTCAATAATTTATTTTTATTTGATAGACTAATACATTACTTCTCTCAGCTGTCATTATCCATTACACTCATTTGTAAAATAAAAATGGTTTAGTTTATGATTAGAGGAGTAAAAGTAACTTGTGAGAGATTTCTATATCACATCTTTGTTTAGGGTGGATGGCTTGAGAGAGAGAGAGAGAGAGAGAGAGAGAGAGAGAGAGAGAGAGACAAGGAGAAATGGAACCACTGAGACAGGGAGAGACAAAGATAGGAGTCATGGCGGTGAATATGTACATTAAGAACGACCAGTGGATGTGTTTTTATTCTCGAGTTAATATATAAATATAATGTAGATAGCTAATTCGGATCACGTGAAGATTAGACACCTCAGTTTACTTCATTTGATGACCAAACACTCTAATGATACCTGAGGTTAGGTTAGGTTAGGTTAGGTTAGGTTAGGGTGTTTAATCGTTAGGTGAAATAAGCTCGGGACTAATCTTTACCTGATCTGATAATTATGTATACAGAATACACCGCTCGCCCGACACACAAAGGACTCAAGCAGCGTTAGTCCAAGAAGATATCACAAGTTCAGGATATAGACAAAAATATCTGGTAACACACTCTAGGCACCGCTTGGCCAAAAACAATCATGATCAGTAATTCAGAAAATTCAGATTTGGGGGGAAATTGGATAAAGTCTGGAGAAGTTGGGGGTATTCGGTAATTCTCATCTCTAAGTAAGAATAGGACCGTGTGTGTGTGTGTGTATGTGTGTGTGTGTGTGTGTGTGTGTGCGCGTGCGTGTGTGTGTGTGTGTGTGTGTGTGTGTGTGTGTGTGTGTGTTCGCACACAGGGTAGTGAAATGCGTCTAGTATGGCAGCATTATGTTAGTGTTAAGGTGCAAGCACTGCTTGCTCCCTCTCGTTTTCAGCTACCGCAGATGGCTAGTCCTCGTGGCGAACAGGGAAGCAACTTGCATGAGTTTTTCTCTGCCAGTACACAGCCTCTTCACCATCAAGACTCCTGCTGTGCCTCCTTGTGGCAAAACACGGTAACTGGGTGCTTCGTAGGCCCAGGCTAGACTAGCAGGGGATCTAGGAGTAGCAAAGGACCCTAGAGGGACGGCGCATAGGCCCATTGGCACATGGATACGTCCTAGCACCTACCAACCATTGTCCCGCAGCCTTGCGGTTTAAGCTTGGTAGGAATAATGCTACGGTATAAATCCCGAACGAAAAACCAGTGGTGGAGCCCCGCATCAGGCAGACATCTTTACAGAGCTCCAACAAGACCCCAACGGCGGTATATGCAGAAGAGGAGAGCACTATGGGAAGCCAACAACTACACCGGCGGACGAAAGCAATGCATGATGGACAGGCTAGTAAGGAGAAACCCAACAAAATGGTCTATCGGCAGTCCACTGCAACTCTCCATCTCCCCAGTCGTTGCAACACTTGTACCACTGGATCAGGAAAAGGGACAGCCAAGATGTGGGGTTGCAGCACGCGCTCCTGCCTCACCACATAAGTCAACTCACGCGCAGCCATCATCCACTTCATCATACCCCTCTTTCATCATCGTCAAAACCCCTACACTCGTCTGTGTCCATAGGACACAGACGAGTGGCGAAGGGGGCAGGCAGAGATGACTGCCGGGAGTCTCTAGTCACAAATCTGCACATGGGCGGCACAGTTAACATGATCATTTATGCACTAGGATCCAGGCTGCAGTGCAATCCAGTCCTGTCTGTGCGTCTGAGCAGCCCTCTTCAGGAGTCACTCAGTTCACCCCACATGGGGACGGGGTTAGAAAATGTAACCTAAACATAGCCTGCCTAAAAAAGAACATGAATGGCAACCACACCCAGTAAGATCATCTAATGCGGTCAAACACACAATCAAAATCACAGATCCAAACAAAAACAAACTGTACAGGCCTCTTTTGTTCGCTGCATGGAATGTCAGGACCCTTAAGAAAACTGGCACAAATGGGCGTCCTGAAAGAAGAACTGCCCTTGTGCCATTAGTGAGTTCCGGCTCCCAGATGAGGTTAATCTCACAGAACGGGGATCTGGCTATCCCTTCTTCTGGAAGGGTAAGCCTGCTGAGGAGAAAAACCACATTTATGGAGTTGGCTTTGCCATCCACCAACGCATCCTACACAAGGTAACTCGTTTGCCTATTGGGATCAATGAGCTCCTCATGATGCTGCAAGTTCCTCTGAATTACTCACGCCATACGCCCCAACACTGGATACAAAGGATGACATCAAGGAGGCCTTTTACTCCGACCTCAAGAGAGTGTTAACCTCTATTCCCAGAGAAGGGAAGGTTGTGCTTCTTGGTGATTTCAATGCCAGTCTTGGCAGAGTTGCTGACATTTGGAAAGGAACCAAAGGGAGAATCCCTAACTGCCTACTCCTCCTCAGCAAGTGTGCTACACACAACCTCAACATCGCCAATACCTTCTTTGAGCAGACCCACAAGTTCAAGGGTTCGTGGCAACACCCAAGATCCAAACACTGGCATCTCATTGATTACATCATTGTCAGAGAAAGAGATTGCCGATATGTCCTCATCACCCATGATATGCGTTTCAGACCACTGCAATACTGATCATCGGCTCGTCAGATCCAAGATCTCACTTCATGTCACCCGAAAACCGCGAAGGCAGGAAGCCTCCAAAAGAGGTAATAACAATTAACATCTAGAGGATCCTGCGGTAGCTCACGCTTTCAGAGAGCAGCTCGAACATGGGCTGATAAAGATCCCGACAACAAAAAACCCAAATCCCAGAGCCGAATGGGATATTCTCGACTCTGTCATGATAAAAACATACAGAGAGACTCTTAGCCAGATGGAGAGAATACACCAGGACTGGTTTGATGAAAATGACCCGGCAATCAATTTACTCGTCGATGATAAACGTGCTGCTTTAACCGATTGGCAGAACAACCCTCAGTCTCGAACCAAAGCTGATACCTTTCGCAAGAAGAAAGCCAAGGCTCAGCGGGAACTTCGCAATCTAAAGAACGACTGGTTTAAAAATAAAGCATGTGAAACACAAAAAATTGCAGATCAGCTCAAGATGCCCGAAATTTTCAATTTCACTAAAACATTTTATGGGCCAATCACTCGAGGCGGAGACCCCCTCCGCTCATCCGACGGTAACTCCATAATTAAAGACGATGAAGGCCTTCAGCGCTAGAAAGAGCGCTTCCATTCACTGATCAACCGAAACACCGATGTGGATGCCCTGACTACCCAGCAGGTCACTCAGCATCCAGAGATGACCCACCTCAGTTATCCTCCATCTCTGGATGAGGTAGCTACTGCTACCAAACAGATAAAAAATAACGAAGCCTCAGGGCCTGGTGGAATCCCAGTCGAGGTGTATAAAGCAAGATCACCTCTGCTTACCAGCCGTCTTCACTCTCTCCTGGAGAATATGTGGGAAAAGAAGGAAAGCCTCAAGTTCTTGAAGATGGCTCCATCGTCAATATTTATAATAACAAGGGAGACCAATTAGACTGTGGCAACATACTAGTGTCTGTAGCTGGCCTGATTAACACCCGAGTTCTCCTAAACATACTTCTTCCTGAGGCGGAAAAATTCCTCCCAGAATCTCAATGTAGCTTTAGACCATCACGTGGCACCATAGACAGGATCATTGTTGCCCGTCAGATACAGGAAACGTGCAGAGAACAGCGTCGTGACCTCTACTTGGCTTTCATCGACCTAACCAAGGCCTTCGACTCGGTCAACAGGGAAGCCCTTTAGTGGACCCTCAGCCGTTTTGGCTGCCCAACAAAATTCTTCGCTATTGTAAGACAACTCCACGATGGCATGAAAGGCAGTGTTCTACACAATGGCACCCAGTCTGAGTTCTTCCCCATCCAAATGGGGGTTAAACAGGGATGTGTACTGGCACCAACTCTCTTTTCCATTTTCTTGGCTGCCTTTCTTATTCGTGCCAGCGCCAATTTAGCCGGCGGGGTGGAAATCGAATACTAGATGAAGGGTCTTTTCAACATAAGACGACTCCAGGCAGGAACAAAAGTAACGGTAGCTTCCATTACTGAGCTTCAGTATACAGACGACCTCACCCTTGTCGCTCACACTGAACGCGACTTACAAGGAGATACTGAACACCTATGCAGATGTGTATGCACACTTCGGCCTTGAGGTGAATGTACGTAAGGCTCAATTTTTTTTTCAGCCTGCCCTTGGTTCAGCCACACCTTCACCATCCACCCAGCTTAACGGTACTACCCTCTCTAATGTTACCACTTTCGGTGTCTCGGCTCCCAACTGTACACCACCGCAAACATCGATGAAGAGATTCAGCATCGGATCAGATTTGCATCTCAAGCCTTTGGCAGATTCCATACCCGTGTCTTCAGCTGTCGGGTGATGAAATTATCTTCAAAGTTACACGTATATCGACCAGTCGTCCTCCCCACCCTGCTACATGGCAGGGAGACATGGGTCCCAAGCAGGAGGCACCCCAAGCCACTTGAAAACATTCACCAACGTAGTCCATTACATCCTCCGATTTCGCTTGGAAAACCAGAGAACAAATGCCAGTGATTTTCCTGACACCAACTGCAGAAGCATCGAAGCTACCATTATCTATGAACAACTACGCTGGACTGGCCATTTTACCCGTATGGACGACAGTAGCTGCCAAAGCAGCTGCTTTAAAGTCACCTAGCGAATAGTAAACGTAAAGCTGGCGGGCAACTATAAAGGTATAAGGATAATCTTAAGACAAACCTGAAAAAGTGCCAAATCGACCCCTTCACCTGGGAGACGATTACTCCACACCGTAATGCTTGGAGGATCATACACAAGAAGGTGTCAATACTTTCGTGTTAATCCGACTGCATAACGAGGCAGACAAGCGCCAAAGCCGGAAAGACGTTGCCGCCGCCCCTCCTTCACTAGATGTAGCCCCCCACACGGGCAACATCTGTAATCGACCCTACCCGTCCTGACGTATCGGCCTCTTTATTCACCTAAGAACTCATCAACCTAGGTGACATCTTTAATAATTGGATGATCGTCATACTCGATTCCGACTGACAGCAAAGTAGTAGTAAATAGTGTGTGTGTGTGTGTGTGTGTGTGTTTCCTTCGTTTGTGTGTTTTTCAGTCATGTGTATGTATCATGTTTCTCGAAAGTCTTTGTCCTATTGTTGACGGCAAACTGTGAATGTTGCAGGATTGGCTGTGTAAGACGCTGCTGACCCTTAGGATGTACGCCCAGATGGCCTCTATCAACTGGATGTTCGTGGAGGGGCTGTTCCTCCACTCCAGACTTACCTCCAACGTCTTCGACTCTGGGGCGCCCTTCACACTCTACTATATCATTGGCTGGGGTAGGTCACTGTAAGCTGGGGTGGGTCACTGTAGGGTAGGGTGGCTCACTGTAGGCTGGGGTGGCTCCCTGTAGGCTGGGGTTAGTCACTGTAAGCTGGGCTGGGCCACTGTAATGTGGGGCGAGTCACTGTTTATGAGAGTGAGTCACTGTAAGGTGGGGCGAGTTTGTGTAGGCTGGGGTGAGTCACTGTAAGCCGGAGTGAGTTACTGTAGTTTGGGGAGACTCACCGTATACTGGGGTGACTCACTTTTGACTGGGGAGAGTCACTGTAAGCTGGGATGAGCCACTGTCAGCAGTGGTGAGTCACTTTAGGCTAGGGAGAGTCACTGTAGGCTGGCGTGAGTCACTGTATGTGATGGTGAGTTACTGTATGTTGGGGTGACTCAGTGTAAGCTAGGGTGAGTCACTGTAGGCTAGGGTGAACCCCTGTCACCTTAGGTGATTCACTGTACGCGGTGGTTAGTCAAGCTGAGGTGAGTCAGTTTAGGCTGGGATGAGTCACTGTAGACGTGGGTGAGTCACTGTATACGTGGGTGAGTCACTGTATGCTAGCGTGAGTCACTGTTAGCTGGCGTGAGTCACTTTAGGCTAGGGTGAGTTGGCGTACGCTGGGGTGAGTCACTGTATACAAGCGTGAGTCACTGAATGCTGGGGTGAGTCGGTGTAGGCTAGGGTGAGTCACTGTAGGCTAGGGTGAGTCACTGTAAGCTGAGGTGAGTCACTGTAAGCTACCATGAGTCACTTTAAGCTAGAGTGAGTCACTGTACGCTGGGGTCAGTGATGGAATAGATTTAGTGAATTAGCTGAGATGTTTTATTCTAATACTGATTTTGTTATTGTTGTTGTAGGGTGGCCACTAGTATTTCTGGCAGCCTGGGCCACCACCATGGCTCTTCACTACCCCGTACAGTGCTGGCGAGGCTATGGTAATCTGCTCTACATTTGGATTCTCGTAGCTCCTATGGTCACCGCTCTCATGGTAGGTTCACCTCATGGTGGGTTCTCCCATGACCACCTCCATTACGGTAGGTCTTCCCATGAACACTACCCTCATAGTAAGTCCTCCCATGGTCACTGCTCCCGTGGTAGGTCCTCCCATGGTCACCACCCTCATGGTAGAATCTCCCATTCATGGTAGGTCCTCCCATGATACTGACTTCCCTTATAATCATCATGGTAGTGAGACTCACCATGTCACCACACGTATCAAATTATACACTTTGATAACCATGAAGAAAAATATAAACTACTAATGAGATGCACCAGGTAATATATGTCAATTGATCTAAGGGTCAACAACATCTGACCTACAGGGAAAATAAGTAAAAATAGTCGTAGAATGTGTGAAGGTTGGACCTGTTCGTGGAGTTTGACCTAAGTCGTTAACAGCAGAAGTACTGCACGTCCCATGATAGTGACGAAAAAATATCTGAATGATTATAAATGTGTAGATGTGTGTTGTTGATGTTGTTGTTAGCAGAGTTTAAGTTATATTTAGATTTGCAGACAAAATTCCCTGGACTCTATTGGCAACATCTGACATCATCTACATGAGGTTATGTAGATACGTTAGGATAATCTGACAAAGGATTTTAACATCTATTAACTCATATTTTTGTCTCTATTAATGGTTTTGTTTTTCCATGCTTTTTTCTGATATAAAACATAATAAAAAGAAGCCGTTCACCATCCCATATAACACTTACAAGTCAACGCCAGATATTGTCAAGAATTCACAAAATTTTGTCATCCCTTCCCCTCCCACAATGTTGATATTTGTGTATTCGTTCCTTGGTTCAAATCACATTTAGTGCGATATGAAATTTTACATTTTACATATAGAATGCGGTGACATTTTGAGATAGAAAATAGATTTAATTTGAACTTTTCGATTTTTTTACGACCTTCGACAGCTAACAAGAATGTGCTTCCTCGTGCAGAATTGATCGTAGGCCTATTATACAAATTTCGAGTTATTTGACAACTTGGATTTTGTGGAATTTGTAGACTAGATACTATACCTGAGACTGGGGAGGGAGAGTTGCCACGCTATTGTTGGTATACGCAAGTTACGAGATGCATCTGTCACTGACGGTGAACTTAGTAATATATGAGATCAAATTTATCTTCTGGCGCTGTTTCCAGTGATGCGCTTTTTTGAAGGAGTGAAAGTCAGCGTAGGTCTGAATATTACTTCCTGGAAACGAATCTGAATGTATTTATGTGTAATACATATACGAATGGGATGTGTTTGTTGTAATAATTCTTAGATTCCTCGAGAAAGGGGGAAAATACGTAATTTATCTTGTGAGTGTATGTGTGTATGAATGTGGAGAGAGGTATTAACTTTTACAAATCGGTTAGCCAAATAAGTATTTTGGGAACTAAATGGAGTCTCTCTCTCTCTCTCTCTCTCTCTCTCTCTCTCTCTCTCTCTCTCTCTCTCGCTCTCTCTCTCTCTCTCTCTCCTCACTAATTTGCACAACTGTAACTTGAATTTCTATTTGAAAGTAATAGAAAGCATATACCACAATATTCAAGACGATTATCCACTCTGGTTTACAGTAACCCATTATACAGTGAAATCCCATATTACAAATGCATAGACAACCCTTCAATTTAACCTATCAACGTTCCTACTGACTTTGCATTAAGGCTATGTACCATTACCCACATTGTAAAATGACACACATCACATACAGTACATAAATTACACTATTACACACACTGCATACATTACAAGGCACATTCACGCGTATCCCGTGTTAAGGAATTAGCATACGGTTAGCGAGGGATCTGTCAGCCAATGGGAAACCTAGCCACTGGGTCTCGACATCCACACAAGCCAACGATATGCAACATTACCATATGTGACCACTTAGGGGGGTTATCCAGCTGCCATCTCATTCACAATGCCGCGGGGAACGCTAGCCTAAGGGATCATGTCAGAAAGGAAGCATGTGTGTGTGTGTGTGAGAGGCCACAGAAGTCGGAGTTATATATATCTATACACTCTTAACATGACCCATGATGAAGATTGGGATGTTCTTCTGTGAGTTAAATGTTCAGTTCTGTTGTACAAAGGTTATGCACTTGTCACAATGTGGGCTCTAACTGTGATGACCCCCCTCCTCCCGTGCGCATGATTTTGATGCCGTCATACCTGAGTTTTAAACGCAATGGTAAAATTTATTTTCCGCGAAGCTTCAAAATTTACGAACTTTGTGAAACTTCTTGAATCATCTGAGCAATCTCCTCTCCACCTTATTTCACCTAACGATTAACCACCTTAACACTATTTGGGGAGTTCAGGTTAAGTTAGGTTAGGTTTAGGCATGGATAGATTAGAATTGCGTTAAGGTGGTTAATCTTTAGGTAAAATAAGCTGGGTGAAGATTCTTCAAGTGTTTATTGCATTCTATAGATTTAATGATGGCAGATAACCAGTGCTTTTCACATCACCAATTGTCGGCTTTTTATATCTCCTTATCGAGTATCAAACATGTTCTAAGGATCGCTGATTCGTGCCCGAGGAACATCCAATCGACCCAGTTGTGAATGAATACCTGACTTTGGTTTGAAAGCTGAAGGTGGTTTTACTTATTCGCTTGTACTGTACATATAACACTGGACCTCAGATCTCATTGCGTATTCACATAATCACTTTAGACCTTACTAAACAACATAACATAATACAAACAAGTAGGAAGAAGGTACTGGTCACACGGTTATAACAACACTCAGGAAAAACATCAATGTAATCTTGTGGTGGTCTTGCTGATGTATAGTCATCATGCGAACAATTTTTAATGGTAGTCTTACATACAACATTTAATCTATGTGTAGGCTTATCCTATGTGTACGTATGTTTTTGCATATATATATATATATATATATATATATATATATATATATATATATATATATATATATATATATATATATATATATATATATATATATATATATATATATATATATATATATATATATATTGATAAAACATGTAGCCCCAATGATGATGTCTTGAATAAAGACGAAAGCTAAGGTGCTCCGTTGTTTCCCTTTTCCCGTGTGATTTTATCAAGATATATATATATATATATATATATATATGTCGTGCAATGGAAGCACTCTAAGCCCCCTCCTCCACCTGAAGGATTAGGTCTCCACAAGGTTTTCAAGATTACGTTACCGGATTTTGCTCCTCAGGTGTAGCCTTCAGCGAATTCGTAATGGAAAGTTCCTTTAGAATATCTGAACCTCCGCATATGTTGACGATCAAGTCTCTCTGAGGGAGCCGCCTAAGGAGATTTACTCACATCCCAATTTGCTAGACCAGTGCCACCAGAGCATCACTAACAAGCCCACCGGGACAAGGGAGGGGAGAAGCAGCTCAGAAATAGGTATAATGAACTATCTAGGAATGTTAAGAAAAATGTAAGGAAAACAAAGAGAGACTATGAAATCAAAATAGCAAGAGAATCCAAGGCGAATCCCAAGGGATTTTTCCAGGTATATAGAACAAAAATCAAGGACAAAGATGGGCCTTTAAAGTCAGGGAGGGGAGCAGTGATAAATGGCAGTGAGGAAATAAGCAAAGCATTGAACAGCTACTTCTTATCAGTTTTCACAGAGGAAATTCGCAATGAAATTCCAGAGGTGGAACTGATATTTAAGGAAAAAAAAAAAGAGAAATTAAAGAATATCTCTATCAGAAAAGAGGATGATCTTAAGAAGATAAATAAACTAAAGAAGACAAAATCCCCAGGGCCAGATGAAATTTTCCCTCGAGTCTTGAAAGAGTGTAGGGAACAGATTAGCGGACCCCTCGTAAACTTATTTACAAAATCATTAGACACCGGAGTTGTGCCAGACTTGTGGAAACAGGCAAATGTATTACCCATATTCAAAAAGGGAGACAGAGCATCAGCGTCAAATTACCGGCCGATCAGTTTGACGTCAGTAGTGGGGAAATTTCTTGAATCAATTATAGCAGATAACATCCGATCGCATTTAGAGAAAAGCAAATTAATCTACGACTCTCAACATGGGCTTACAAAGGGATAATCTTGTCTAACAAATCTGCTGACATTATTTAGGAGTCTTCGAGGTAGTAGATTGTTCGTGTTCTGGGTATTAAGTTCTATCTACAGGAGCGAACACAAACACCTGGATAGT